TACTTTCATACTCCTAATCTTTTGATTCCCACTTTATTTAGTGCGACATCTCTTGGCCTTCCGGTGATAATCCCAAGTGAATCGTTTTTAACAAAATTTGTACCTCTACTTCAAAATGACAGTTTCAGTTTTCCCAATTCCTCTTTTCACGAAATCGGGGACTATTTCTGAAAAAAGCGCACCATGCGCAGCAATGAGTGGGAACCGATAACCCAGCGACAGAAATACCAGCAGTAAAGCTTCTGGGGAAATTCGGAATCAAAACACTGCTGGCATTTCTTTAAAACACATACCATACATAGCAACCTTCAAAATTCAGCTGTGGGATGGGAGGCGGCTTTCTTCAAAAGAATGTGAAACTTTTGATACCATGTAAGCTCCCATCCACATACACACACACACACACACACACACACACAGTCATATACACATATGCACACACAAGCACATACGCGCATACACACAAGCACACGCAGATACAACAAAAATACACACACTTAGCAAATAGAAGTATGCCTCACGATTTACCTTTATAGACATGTAGCTGCAGCTAAGGTATTCAGTTGAATAATTTTATAGGGATTTTGGCAAAAGACGAGCGAAGTGAACAATCGGATCGAGTGGAAAATGGAAAAGCAAGTAGGAGCAGCAGCAGCAGTATCACCGGCCTGCTTCCCTTCCCCATGTCTTGTCTGAGCCAACAAAAAAATTTTATGGGTTTTCACTACTACGAAGCAGAGGCGATCGAGCCAGCGGTTGGTGGCACATCAAAGGCGGCCGGGGGCACATTACATTTTAATGTCCTCTGCCTTCCAGCTCGCCCTTCCTTTTTAAATAGAGCGGCAAAAAAGTCCGTAGCCCGCTGCACACCGATACATCCAAGCAATACATTTCGATCACAGAGGCCGCTGCGATTCCCGGAATTCATTTTTGCGAATTTTACCAAATTCATTTTCCGGAAATGGCCTGCGCTTGCGAACTAACACCTCTTTAAAATACGTTTCTGGGAGAA